AAACGAGTCGGGATCCCTCGTGCCCTTGCCACAGCTCCAGGTTACGCCACAGTCCCTGAGTCGTGCAGTGAAGACAGAGAGCCCAGAGAGAGGGCAGGATGAGGAGATCGATATTGAAACCGTGTCTGAGAAAACTCCAGGTGAGTGGGTGAAATGATTTTTTTTTTATCTTTCTGTGTTTCCATGTCCTCTCCCTCCTCTTCCTCTTCCTCAGACTCCCATCATTTTTTTTTTTTTTTTAAATTATTATCATCATCTACCTATAGTTCTGGAGAGTTCCAGACCTTCTTACACTGTATTCATTGTATTATCTGAAGGTAACTTACCCATTTTTCTCCCCAGTGTTGGAGGCCGGTGACCTGGACAGCCTCCTGGCCCAGTTTGAGGCCTCTGAGGCAGTTAACAAGACCTCAGGTGACGGGACCAAGGATGGCCCCAGCAGCGCTCCTGAGCAGGTGAAGGCCACCGGAGGGTTTGGACCACACAGCAGGGGGCCTTCGGTGCCAGGTATTGTCCCCCTGGGCATCTCCCCACAGTCCTCCCCCACTCATCAGAAGATCAAGGATGCTTTGCCCAAGGAGATCATTGAAAAGATTAAAGGTAGGGACTTAGGGTTGTCTTTTTATGTATCTCCCTTCTTTTCTTTCCTCCTCCTCCTCCTCCTCCTCCTCCTCCTCCTCCTCCTCCTCCTCCTCCTCCTCCTCCTCCTCCTCTCCTCCTCCTACCCCTCATCCTCCTCCTCCTCCTCTTCCTCTTCCTCTCCTCTCTTCTTCCTCCTCCTCTTCTCCTCCTCCTCCTCCTCCTCCTCCTCTTCTCCTCCTCCTCTTCTCCTCCTCCTCTTCCTCCTCCTCCTCCTCCTCCTCTTCTCCTCCTCCTCCTCTTCCTCCTCCTCCTCCTCCTCCTCCTCCTCCTCCTCCTCCTCCTCCTCCTCCTCCTCCTCCTCCTCCTCCTCCTCTTCTCCTCCTCCTCTTTCTCCTCCTCCTCCTCTTTCTCCTCCTCCTCTTTCTCCTCCTCCTCCTCTTTCTCCTCCTCCTCTTTCTCCTCCTCCTCCTCTTTCTCCTCCTCCTCCTCTTTCTCCTCCTCCTCCTCCTCTTCTCCTCCTCCTCCTCTTCCTCCTCCACCTCCACCCCGCTTCCTCCTCCTCCTCCACCTCCTCCTCCTCCTCCTCCTCCTCCTCCTCCTCCTCCTCCTCCTCCTCTTCCTCCTCCTCCTCCCTCCTCTTTCTCCTCCTCCTCCTCCTCCTCTTTCTCCTCCTCCTCCTCCTCCTCTTTCTCCTCCTCCTCCTCCTCTTTCTCCTCCTCCTCCTCCTCTTTCTCCTCCTCCTCCTCCTCTTTCTCCTCCTCCTCCTCCTCTTTCTCCTCCTCCTCCTCCTCTTCTCCTCCTCCTCTTTCTCCTCCTCCTCCTCCTCTTTCTCCTCCTCCTCCTCCTCTTTCTCCTCCTCCTCCTCCTCTTTCTCCTTCTCCTCCTCTTTCTCCTTCTCCTCCTCCTCTTTCTCCTCCTGCTTGTCTGTCTCCTCCTCCTCCTCCTGCTTGTCTTTCTCCTCCTCCTCCTCCTCCTCCCCCTCCTCCTCCTCCTCCTCCTCCTCCTCCTCCTCCTCCTCCTCCTCCTCCTCCTCCTCCTCCTCCTCCTCCTCCTCCTCGTCCTCCTCCTCTTCCTCCTCCTCCTCCTCCTCTTTCTCCTCCTGCTTGTCTTTCTCCTCCTCCTCCTCCTCCTGCTTGTCTTTCTCCTCCTCCTCCTCCTCCTCCTCCTCCTCCTCCTCCTCCTCCTCCTCCTCCTCCTCCTCCTCCTCCTCTTCCTCCTCCTCCTCCTCCTCCTCCTCCTCTTTCTCCTCCTCCTCCTCCTCTTTCTCCTCCTCCTCCTCCTCTTTCTCCTCCTCCTCCTCCTCTTTCTCCTTCTCCTCCTCTTTCTCCTCCTCCTCCTCCTCTTTCTCCTTCTCCTTCTCCTCTTTCTCCTTCTCCTCCTCCTCTTTCTCCTCCTGCTTGTCTTTCTCCTCCTCTTTCTCCTCCTGCTTGTCTTTCTCCTCCTCCTCCTCCTCCTGCTTGTCTTTCTCCTCCTCCTCCTCCTCCTGCTTGTCTTTCTCCTCCTCCTCCTCCTCCTCCTCCTCCTCCTCCTCCTCCTCCTCCTCCTCCTCCTCCTCCTCCTCCTCCTCCTCCTCCTCCCCCTCCTCCTCCTCCTCCTCCTCCTCCTCCTCTTCCTCCTCTTTCTCCTCCTCCTCCTCCTCTTTCTCCTCCTCCTCCTCTTTCTCCTCCTCCTCCTCCTCTTTCTCCTCCTCCTCTTTCTCCTCCTCCTCTTTCTCCTCTTCCTCCTCCTCTTTCTCCTTCTCCTCCTCTTTCTCCTTCTCCTCCTCCTCTTTCTCCTTCTCCTCCTCCTCTTTCTCCTCCTGCTTGTCTTTCTCCTCCTCCTCCTCCTGCTTGTCTTTCTTCTCCTCCTCCTCCTCCTCCTCCTCCTCCTCCTCCTCCTCCTCCTCCTCCTCCTCCTCCTCCTCCTCCTCCTCCTCCTCCTCCTCCTCCTCATTACTTATTAGTTATAAATATTGACATTGTCTTAATTAATCAACTCTTTCAGCGTCAACTAAACGGAAAAGTACACAAATGCTGTCTGAGCCACCGGTGCTGCGCAAAGGCCGTGGAGGTAGACAGCAAGAAGGAACTACCAACCGCAATAAAATTCTTCGTGTTGCACCCCAGAGCTCTTCTGCACAGGTATTATATGTGATGTTACTCTTAGTCTTAAAGTGTAAATATTGAAATATTGTAGCATTTACTCTTCCGAGTGAAGGCTCTTTTACTACAAAGTACGTAAAAGTTGCTTGGCTAACTCAAGTTTGAGACTTAATTAAATGTTTATTTACTCTCTCTTCAGACTGCAACAGATGAACGAGTCCCTCCTCCAGTAGACCATGACTACTGCTTCTCTCCAGACAAACAAAAGCATGCCAAGCAAGACTCTAGTGATAGGATGAATGATGAGTTCTTTAATAAACTTCCTGATTATTACACCACTATGTCGAGACGCCAGTCAAAGAAAGCGAGCATCTGTTCAGACGATGGGCATGATGATGGTGGGAAGAAGGACAGTGGTGTGGAGTCAGGAGATGTGAGTGATGCAAGTGTGGAAACAGAGGAGCGCAAGAAGGAAGGAAAGGATGGAAGGAGTAGACAGGAAGTGTGGAATAACCAGGAGAAGCTCAAAAGAAATAATGATAACACAGATGACGTATATGACAAAATACCTGCTTATATGACTGATATCGGCAATGCCAAGCCCAAAGATGATGAAGAGATGAATGAGAATGAAGAAAAGGAAGGAGATAACATAGTCATTACTACTAAGCCTGAGGTGAAGAAAATCAAACGGAAACTCAACCTCTCTGAGTACCGGCAGAGAATAAGAAGTGCGCAGAGTAGTACTTGCCCTTCCCCTAACCATACTGACTCTGTGCAGACCTCGCCAAAGCCAGGTGACTTGCCGGTGTCTGATCTGGTCCAAAAGATGGAGGAGGCCAAGACTGAAGAGGAGAAGTCAGATGTTGCGCCTAAAAATAATGCTGTTGAGGCAGTAGAGCCGGAGGAAGACACAGAGGAAGGAGAACTGAAGGGGGATTCAGATCCAGAGGTTCCTATGAACCAGCTGGCAGAGAAGGCAGCTGAAGTCTACAGTGCAGTAAACAGGACACCCGAAAAGACTATGCTGCCTGTTCAGCCAACCTCCTGCAGCAGCATGGGGTCAACAAGCTCTCGTGATAGCAGAAGGAGAAACTCCAGGACTTGCTCAATGAGAAGGTGGTCATCCTCAAGCAGAAGCAGAAGCCGAAGTAAGAGTCCCTTGAACAGCAAAAAGAACCACCTGTCTCGCAAACACAGATCCTCGCGCGGGAAGAGAAGAAGGCGCCACAGGAACTCCCACTCGTCCGTATCCCCACACAGCTCCTCCAGAAGAAGGTGGTCCAGATCTCGGTCACGCTCCAGGTCCAGGTCAAGGTCCAGATCTAGGTCGAGGTCAAGGTCGAGGTCGAGGTCGAGGTCGAGGTCGAGATCGAGATCCAGGTCAAAGGGGCGATGCTCATCCACATGTAGTTCATCTTCATGCTCAAGCTCAAAATCTAGGTCAAGGTCTCGCTCTACCAGGACACGAGATAGGTGAGGTCCGGGGTAGCAAAGGTGGTGCTTTATACGGAGACTTCTTGCTTATGATGGGCAAAAATTGCTTTGTTAGAATGACAATTGATATAAGAGCAAATTAAGAAAGAAATTCCCTTCATCTTTATTATTCACACTAAAATTCGTAAACCTTTTCTTAAATTATCAGGTGGGGATATTCGCGTAGATACTCTAGAAGTCGCGATAGAAGACGCAGATCTCACAGTCGCTCAAGATCACGTTCTTCGTCACGCTACAGCAGAGTCACACGTTCCCGCTCGCCCGTCTGGGGGAACAGAAGATCCCGCTCGCCCCCTCGACTTCCACCGAGAATAAGGAGACCGGTAAGAGCAGAAAAAAAGAGAAAAGGAAAAACCTGATAGGAAAAAAGTCCCACTCCCCTCTCATACTCTCTCCCTCCCCTCTCACACTCTCTTTTCTTTCTTTCTTTCTTTCTTTCTTTCTGTCTTTCTGTCTTTCTTTCTTTTTCTCTTCCCCCCCCCCTCTCACTCTCACTATCACTATCACTCTCACTCTCACTCACTTGGCTCCAAAATGCACTTATTCACCAAGGAGACAGTTACAATGACTACTTGACCTCACCAGTTTTTATATTTATTATATTATCAATGTTGAAGTGATGATAATGATAATCATAGCAATAGCAGTATGATATTTTTTCCCTAAAGAATCAAAGAAATAGTACATAGTTAATAGTATCTGGTGCCAAGAAGTCAAGGAGAAAAGATAGCTAATTATGCATTTAGATCTTTAGAAAATGTGTTAAAATGCCTGGTACTATCTTCATTTATGCTACATTTGCACACAAAAATTTTAAACTGTAGCAGTAATGACACCTACTTACCACCAGGAGGACGAGGATCGAGTCAGACAAGTGGAAGAGCGTCGTGTCATATACATCGGTCGCATCATGGAGGGGACCACCAAAGCAGATCTGCGACGGCGATTCCAAAAATATGGAACCATTGTCGACATTAGCGTTCATTTTAGGGAACACGGGTAAGTGCTGTGGAATGGGGTTAGTGTTGGTTTCTGGGATTTTTTTTTTTCCCTTGCTGGAATTAACCAGGGCTTCGATAGAGCATAAGTAACTCCTTAACTTTGATGTTGTTTTAGTGGGTGGCTTTTACAAAAGTTTGGTGACTTGTGTGAATATATTTATCTTTGTTGATGGAACTTTGAGATATATATATTTTGGTAGGGCAGTTATGTGTATAGTATCAATTACCAAATTTTTCTTTGTGTGTATTAAGATATATAATTCTTTTACAGGGACAATTATGGGTTTGTAACATTTAAGAACAGGGACGAAGCTTACCAAGCTGTTGAGAATGGTAACGAGGATCCCTCACTCCCACGCTACGACCTGTGCTTTGGGGGGAGGCGAGCCTTCTGCAAAGTTCAGTATTCTGACTTAGGTAAGTAGAGAAGAGGCTGACTTTTCTGTTTAGATGATTGGATATTAGTATTTATATATTTTTTTATATATTTGATTTATTATTGTTTGTATATCTTTTTTGATGTTGCATGTCCTTGCAAATGTTCACTTGTCTAATTTGTTTTGTAGTCTTGTTGACTGAGCCCGTTTTTCCCTTGCAGATGCCCAAAACGAGTCATACATGGGGGGGTCTCTGTCAAGAGGTGCGCCACACGGGGACTTTGACACACTCTTGCGCGAAGCATTGAAGAAGAAGTTACGATGACCATGGGGTTTTCTAGCATTTACTTCTGTAGTAACTATGTTTAGCTGACCTGTAGTGTTGGTTAGGAACATGTGATTATAATTTTTTTCTAATATTATTCATAGATATGTAAATTAGTGTCAAATTTTGCTATGAATTTTGCTTTTACTTTTTTTTTTTTCTTTTCATTAAATACCTGATACTCATTTTGGTCTGCCATTTCTTACTTTTTTATTTGCCATTTGTTACCTGTTTTCTCCCGCAAGGTGAGAAACAAGTTGTTTTCCTACTATACATAGTAACTGAGAGATTAAGTTTGTATATAGTTTCAGCAGATTTTTGTTTCTCAAAAGAGCTTGTATATGAGTATATATTAAGAGATCAAAGTGCAGTGCGATGGTCAGTGTTGTGTCCCCATTTTCAAAAGTTCCTGCAACAGCCAGGGCGAGAAAGAATAAAGCACAATTAAACGTAGTGGAAAGTTGCCGGCTAAAAGAGGATCCTGAAATGTTCTGAAAACTTTTTTTAAGGTCTCTAAGCAACTTGATCCGAAAGAGGAGGAAAAGAATTGGGAACAGTAAATCCCTCCCCCCCCCATTTGATATATAAATATATGTATATATATGTATATATACATATGCATATGTATATATGCATGCATATATGTATGTGTATATGTGTATATATATATATGTATATGTATATATGTATATATATAAATAAATGAAAATATATATATATATATATATATATATATATATATATATATATATATATATATATATATATATATATATATATATATATATATATATATATATAACACTTCTGCAGGATATTAGAATATTAGGTATTCCTCAACTTCAGTGCTGCTAATAGTGAGAAATTTTTTTCTCTCTCTTTTTCAAATAGTATGTGGCTTGCTGTGGCCCACTTGATTTTTTTTATTATTATTTTTATTTTTTCCCCCTCACACACTGCTAACAGAGAAGCTAAATTAGGTGAATTCCTTGCTGTGTTATGGCAAGTGTGATATGTGGCATTGTTTAAAGTGTACATTATGTAGAGTTTGTTTATTTGATCACTTAAAGATAGATGTATTTGTATAGATGAGGCTTGGTGCTTTGGAAGAGAGTAAGAGAGATGCAGAAATTGCCTGTGAGAGAGAAAGAAAAAAAGAAAGGGAAGGAGAAATAGGGGGGAAGAGAGAGAGAAAGTAAGAGAGAGAGAGGAAGGAAGGAAGGAAGGAAGGAAGGAAGGAAGGAAGGAAGAAAAGAAGAAAAGAAGAAAAGAAGAAAAGAAGAAAAGAAGAAAGGAAGAAAGGAAGAAAGGAAGAAAGGAAGAAAGGAAGGAAGGAAGAAAGGAAGAAAGGAAGAAAGGAAGAAAGGAAGAAAGGAAGAAAGGAAGGAAGGAAGAAAGGAAGAAAGGAAGAAAGGAAGAAAGGAAGAAAGGAAGAAAGGAAGAAAGGAAGAAAGGAAGAAAGGAAGAAAGGAAGAAAGGAAGAAAGGAAGAAAGGAAGAAAGAAAGAAAGAAAGAAAGAAAGAAAGAAAGAAAGAAAGAAAGAAAGAAAGAAAGAAAGAAAGAAAGAGAATGAAAAAGGAAATGGAAAAAGAGAGAAGAAGTGAGAGAATGAGCAGCAAGACCAAGGATCCCATGGGGGCAAACAACAAGAAGTTCAAGTGTAACAGAATGGTCGAGTTACCATTGGCCTGTGGAAATACAACTCTTGATTAGCATGAGGTGCAGACACTGGCGACTGAGGAAGGGTCTTATGTACTTTTGTAAAGCTTTCACGAGTCGTTGGTGATTAGTACTTGGCTGTGTTTATCATTATTGTCATCATCCTGAATATTCTTTTTTTTTGTTATTGTTGTGAAAGTTATTGATGGTTATTTCTCTTCTTGTTAGTGTTATGATGATTATTATAACATTTGTTTATAATTGTTATCACTAATTTTGTGATCATTATCATCATCATCATCAGCAGGGCCCGACAGCTCACGTCTACATAGTTTATTGTGCCATTGTTATCATACCATGTTTCCCTTCAGCCATACTGCGTTTTGTGAGATATTGCCTTTTCTCGGTTGTGGTAGAAGGATCTAGTGATATAGGCTATGTAAGTGTTACTTCCTGTAAGGAAACCAAAATCTTGTATACATGTTAGCATCATTGCTTCATGCCGATGACATTAGTTCTTTGGAATGGTGGTTTACATAGGTGTGCAGTGTATTTGGAGCTTATTGTTATTATTATTATTTTTTTTTTGTTTTAAATTTTGTCGTACCTGCCAGGTGGTTTTACTTCAGACATGATCCCCCTTCCAAATTATGTATTACTTAAAAAGGAGAAATAAATACTAGAGAAAATACTCAGCTAAAGGATGCACATTTTGCCTGTGTTGCTTTTTTTGTTAAGCCAGAAAGAATTGGCTTTAGGTGTTAGGGATTCATATGCTTACTAATGGAATAAAAAAAGCTGCAGCTTGAACAAGAGAAAAGCATTTGCATAAGCACTAATTTTTAAATAGCTCATCACATTATGATACTGAGTTTTTGGTGTACAAGGTGCTATTAGGAATAAACTGGTTTTCTGTTATTGAAAAGTTTGCATCAATTGTTGTCTCTGTAAGTAGGAAGAGTATATATATATATACATAATGAATTTATGATGAATTAAATAATGTTGATGTTTGGTTAAAACTTATGTAAATAATGATAATCCTTTAAAAAGGACCTTGTTTGCTTGAAGATTAGAACTACACAACTAAATGTCACATACACGGAAAGGAAGCGATAGAGAATATTCATGAACACACATGCACAGGCATACGCTCATGCACAGAGACATACACCAGATGTTGTGTATTGTAATGTGTGATAATGTTATTCCTTTAGCCTTTGCAAGAGAACCAGAAAGAGTTAAACCAAAGCAGTACAAATGGCTCTTGGGTAGCAAATACTTTATTTTGCAAAAACTCTCTCAAGCTCTGGCAAAGTTAGAATAAAAAGGGAAGAGTAGAACGATAGGTGAAACTCAATAAGTGCATTATTATTACTATTATTATTATTGCAGTTATTATTTTATTATTTTTATTGGTTTTTGTCATTATCTTTTAATCGTTGAAAGGTTACTTGCATGTTTTGTTATCAGTTGTTGAAGGACACTAATTATGTGGACTACTTTTTAAAATTTTTGTTTCAAAGTTATAGGATTTTGCTGTTTTCTATAAGATATTTTGAGGTCTGTACATGATAATATTTCTATATTATTGTGTTCTTATATCACCCTTTTTTTTGTGAAAACGGATATTTATATTTGATTAGGGAAGCTCTTCAAGGATATTATCAGAACAATTGAGTTAGCAAATTTGCTTTTTTAATTTTTGTTTTTGTTTGAAGAACCTTAGGAAATGTATCAAGTAAACATTGAAACCTGAATTGATAATTTGTGGAGAATATTATTATTATTATTTTTTTTTGTAGCACTAAAATCTTTTACACGAAGTTTCATTTGCAGCCATATGCTTACATAGTACTAAGCAGTTACCATGACTATTTTTATAAGATAAAATCCAAAATGCTGAAAAAAAGGTAATATAAAAAATACAAAAAACAGAACTATGCTATGGTTTCTATAAGGCCGTAGAAGTGGGAGCAGGAAAGGAGACGGCAGTGAGCATGTGAGGTGGGGGGCTGGTAGTGGTGTCATTATGACTATTTTTGTATTTATTATATAAATGACAGCAGTTCTCAGGGGGTCTTCACTACCACTTCTCATGATATTGTACCTTTGTGATAGAGAGAGGAGAACGTGAAAGGTTGTGTGCGTAAGTGGATGAGGAGGTCCATGTACTGTGTATATTACAGTATTCATATATATATATATACATATATGTGTGTGTGTGTATGTATGTTTTCCCCTTTTTGTCTTGTGTATACTCCTTATTCACCCAGTGTTTGTTGGAGACTATGTGGGGGGGTCTTGTGAGATCAGCCAGATTGGGTGTTGCCAACAATTATGATGTTGAACAAAAAAAAAGATGAATTTTGCAGAGAAATGGACAGATCCTATTTGATACCGGGTAACGTGTTTTCTTATTTATTGTTATTTATTTATTATGTTTTTATTATTATTGTGACCAAACTAGTTTAGTGCTCCCAGGAATTTATAGTTTTAACTCTGTTACTGAGTTTATTGTGTGTGTAATGAAGGTGTACAGATTTTGTTATGACACTGAAATGTATATTATCAGTGGGTTTACTTGGATATAGTCATTGATTTTATCTGTGAGCAGTCTTCGGGAAAAAGACCAGACAAAAGCATACTGCAAAAGCAATAGTAGAAAGTGCAACAGTTTAGAAAAAAAGGTAAAACCAACATTTTATAATTTTTTACATGCATCTTTAAAGAAAAAAGCACATTTAAGTGGTAAATGCCTTTCAGTCTTGTATCGGACTTAATGATATATACACACATATATGGAGTCTGTCGTAAATATATAGAAAGAGAGCTGTTTGGTTCTTGCGTCCCCTGATGAATTCACCTGTTGGAGGTATGGAGGTTACCTCGAATTGTACATAGTAGAAGCATGACGGTAATCTTGGCTTTTACATTCATTGTTGATGCTTTGGCCAGAAAGAAGAAGAAAAAAAAACATCCTTGTGATAAGGTGAACTGTATCACAAAACATTACTTGTTAATCCCATGAAAATATTTACTACAAGTTATCCCCCCCCAAAAAATGGTTCTGTTGAACAGACAGGCTTTGATGCCCATAAATTTATTTAATGTTCTGACAGCTTTAGTATTGTATAACATTAAAATAAAAAACAATCTTTTGGGATTATGGATATTGACGGGTAAGGCATTTTGAGTGTTAAATTGGCCTACACATGACAACCCTCCTCCCTCCCATTCTGCAGTTGCATGGAAACTTACTTGTTGTCAGCCAGGGTGAGCAGAATGGTTTATAGTAATAAAATAGCAGGGCAGTGACAAAGGTCTTTTATTTCTTACTCTATCCTTATGTAGACTGAACGTAATGAAATTAAGAAAGCACATTTCCTTATAATTTTCAAGACCAAGACCCTTCACCGACCTCCCAACCTATCAGACATCCTTACAGAATCCCACACTTTCTGCATCAACAACCTGTTCTCTTTCCTCAAACGCATACATATCCTTTATCTAATCTAACACCCGACCTTAACCCTTTAACTCACCAATTCCTTTGCCCAGCTTAGACAACTAATCACTAACTCAACCACCTTTCACTAACATTAACTATAGTGCTACATGACCTTAGATGTCTAGCACATTTATCTTGCTTTTAACCATTAACCATTAACCATTCAAGACCAAGATGGATATCATTCTGTATCTTATTGTGTATGCAGTGAGATCTAAGAATAATGGTTTAAGGTTATTAAAAAAAGAAAAGGAACCTGCACCAAATACCTTAAGATGTATGATTACAGAACCCTTTTGAATTAATTGACTAAGAATTTAGTTGAATACAAGTGATGCTATGATTCTGTTTTGTTTAAGAAAGATTGACTAAGGTATCCAAAGGGAGCATGTTACAAAGAATTATAAGATATAATTAGGTATCGTTCTCCTTCTCCTTCTCCTTCTCCTTCTCCTTCTCCTTCTCCTTCTCCTTCTCCTTCTCCTTCTCCTTCTCCTTCTCCTTCTCCTTCTCCTTCTCCTTCTCCTTCTCCTTCTCCTTCTCCTTCTCCTTCTCCTTCTCCTTCTCCTTCTCCTTCTCCTTCTCCTTCTCCTTCTCCTTCTCCTTCTCCTTCTCCTTCTCCTTCTCCTTCTCCTTCTCCTTCTCCTTCTCCTTCTCCTTCTCCTTCTCCTTCTCCTTCTCCTTCTCCTTCTCCTTCTCCTTCTCCTTCTCCTTCTCCTTCTCCTTCTCCTTCTCCTTCTCCTTCTCCTTCTCCTTCTCCTTCTCCTTCTCCTTCTCCTTCTCCTTCTCCTTCTCCTTCTCCTTCTCCTTCTCCTTCTCCTTCTCCTTCTCCTTCTCCTTCTCCTTCTCCTTCTCCTTCTCCTTCTCCTTCTCCTTCTCCTTCTCCTTCTCCTTCTCCTTCTCCTTCTCCTTCTCCTTCTCCTTCTCCTTCTCCTTCTCCTTCTCCTTCTCCTTCTCCTTCTCCTTCTCCTTCTCCTTCTCCTTCTCCTTCTCCTTCTCCTTCTCCTTCTCCTTCTCCTTCTCCTTCTCCTTCTCCTTCTCCTTCTCCTTCTCCTTCTCCTTCTCCTTCTCCTTCTCCTTCTCCTTCTCCTTCTCCTTCTCCTTCTCCTTCTCCTTCTCCTTCTCCTTCTCCTTCTCCTTCTCCTTCTCCTTCTCCTTCTCCTTCTCCTTCTCCTTCTCCTTCTCCTTCTCCTTCTCCTTCTCCTTCTCCTTCTCCTTCTCCTTCTCCTTCTCCTTCTCCTTCTCCTTCTCCTTCTCCTTCTCCTTCTCCTTCTCCTTCTCCTTCTCCTTCTCCTTCTCCTTCTCCTTCTCCTTCTCCTTCTCCTTCTCCTTCTCCTTCTCCTTCTCCTTCTCCTTCTCCTTCTCCTTCTCCTTCTCCTTCTCCTTCTCCTTCTCCTTCTCCTTCTCCTTCTCCTTCTCCTTCTCCTTCTCCTTCTCCTTCTCCTTCTCCTTCTCCTTCTCCTTCTCCTTCTCCTTCTCCTTCTCCTTCTCCTTCTCCTTCTCCTTCTCCTTCTCCTTCTCCTTCTCCTTCTCCTTCTCCTTCTCCTTCTCCTTCTCCTTCTCCTTCTCCTTCTCCTTCTCCTTCTCCTTCTCCTTCTCCTTCTCCTTCTCCTTCTCCTTCTCCTTCTCCTTCTCCTTCTCCTTCTTATTCTTGTTCTTTTTTTTTCTTTCTTGCTTCTTATTGTTTCTTATTGTCTTGTCTTTTTGTCATCTTGCCTTCTTTTATTCTCTTTTCTTTTCTTTTCTTTTCTTCCCTCTTTTGTTCTTTCTTTCTTTTATTTTTTCTTGTCTTCTTTTCTTATCTTCTCTTTTCTTCTTGTTTCTTCTTGTCTTATCATCTTTTCTTCTTGTCTTCTTATCATCTTCTCTTCCTCTTATTTTCTTGTCTGTCTGTCATTTTCTTGTCTTCTTCTCTTCAATTCTTGTCTCTTCTCTTCTCTTGTTATTTTTGTCATCTATCTTTTTGTCTTCTTCCTACTTCTTGTCTTCTTTTTTTCTCCTCCTCCTCCTCTCTCTCCTCTCCTTCTCTCCCTCCTCTTTCTCCTCTCCCTCCTCTTTCTCCTCTCCCTCCTCTCTCCTTCCTCTCCTTCCTCCTCCCTCCCTCTCTCTCCCTCCCTCTCTCTCCCTCCCTTCTCTCCCTCCCTCTCTCTCTCCCCTCCCTCCTTCGCACTCTCCTCTTCTTCCTCTTCCTCATCTCCTCCATTCTCTCCCATTCTCTCTACGACCTTTTTCAACTCCCGCTGCATATCGTCTACATCCGAAAATATATGATATATAATAACAGTGACAGGAATAAAACAGTCGTCTTTTT